GTTATTGAACGTCACATGTCTTGTGTTACTATTTGCAGTTTCATAACTTTTCCTTTGGTTAAGAAAGGATCTAAGGCACTTACCTCATTGGTCTTTGGGGAAAGTGTGTTGGACTACATGGATAACCTGCCAGGCACACGGGATGTTGTTTTGCTCTTGTTTCAGGATCTTTGCAGGCATAAAAGAAAAAAGAAAAAGGAGCCTTTACTGCTCGTGAAGCTCAGGTACAGTTACAACAGCTGCTCTGGCAAAGTTCCAGAATAGATGTTACAAAGGCTCCAACAACATTAAAGTCATTAGTTGTTAGCAGGGATCTCCTGCTATGTGACTTTTTCCTCTCTTTTTCACACAGTTGACATGATAGTGATGCGATTAGCATTGGTGGGGATGTGCGTGTTGACTTTGGCCTCTGTCCCGATCATGATACCCCGCTTGAAGTGCACTACACTGATTCCTGGTGTGCCAGATCGGCGCAGGCTGCTGCAGGTCTCTGGCACCCTCTGTCTGTTTGGAGGCTAGTACTGCAGACACTCTGCTCTTGAAAAACACTCCTAATCAGATCCAGCCAGAAGCAGTTTGAGTTAGTTTTCTCTTCTGATAGTCTGAACTCAAATCTGTGGATTGGTTTGGCATGTATGGGTGTGTTTCTCTCGGGTGATTGTGGTACAAGGAGCCTGTTGTGGCATGGAGCGGATATTTACACCAAATACAGACAGGAAGTAGGTGTCATCACACGGTCACAATATAGGATTTTATCAGGGTTTTCAACTTTAACAATCACTTGCATTACAAGTGTAAATGTAGATAACGCCCACACTTTGGAGATGCACCTACGGATCCTGTAAAATCATAAAGCTGACAGTTTCGTCTACTGAGGATTGCCTCATTCACCTATTCTGCCAATACTGCCATTCACAAAGGCCGAGAATATCATCTATCATTACAAACAGTTCTCCCATCTTAAAAACTACAGCATATATTGCACTAAATATAAAAGTGCCCAAAAACGTCACTTTTTGGGCACTAAACTAACAAATGCATCTCTTTGACTTGAGCTCACGCTGTAATAGGAGCATTGTGAATTATTAAACTGGTCCTCAGCTCCTGGGTCTGTGTCATTCCCAGTGTGCTTTGCTGCCAGACACAAAGTGAAGCTCACAGACAGACCTGCCAAGTCAAGCTAAAAGAACTTGAAAGCACTTTGGTCCAGTTAGAGACTGAGCTCGCAGGCGGATGAATTCACAGAAAAAGGTTTCATAGAGGCTCAGAATACCAGCCGGTAGCATGAGTTTAATGGTGCTAACAAACGATTGTTTAAGAAATCCAGACTCAAGGTGGTGTTCCTTTGAATCAGCGGTTTCCATTTTTCCTTGCACATCCTGAATTTATGATAACACCATCACTGAAAGAAATGGGGAGGATCATAGAAAAAACTTTTTTTTCAATCCCGTAAGGCATATTCAAACATTTATAGTCTACTTTATCTGCTGATTGATTGGTGGCCTTGCAGAGGCCTTGAACAACATCTCAGCTTGGACTCTCGTAGTGGTTGATGGTGGGAAGTGTGGTATTGCTGTCTGACTTCACCCATAGTCATATACTTATATCAGAGACTCCCTTAACCAGAAAACAACATGTCATCTTCACACTACAACGACAAGACTTAAATTGAACCCTGGAGAAACCATGGGGTCAAATTTGACCCCATGGTTTCTCCAGGGTTAAAGATGCAAGCCTTATTGTGATTAACAACCTCTTCATCAGCGCTCTACAACTGTTGTTGAACACCCCGCTGCTGCTCAGTCAAGTATTGATATCCACTTTTATCTTCTTCCTCGGTATGAATGGTGAGGCTCACGATGAAAACATGTTTTATTGTTGCAATGATGTTTGCAGTTAGGCAGTTAAAGAGATAGTTTCCATTTTCACATTCCTGAATTACCACATTTTTCAAGTCCCAATCAAACACATGTGTGAGGCACCATCCATCATTCAGAGTGGGAAAACGCATTCCTGTGTTTACTATAATTCTTTGGTTATTACTGCAAACATCAGTTCACTGGGTTCATCATGTAACCTCTGTATTGTGCTTAAATTAATAAGTAGGCGAGCGAAGATTTATGTCAGATAAGAAGCAGACAATAAGTCATCTCATAAACTTAGCAGAAAAATGCCAAACACGCACAGTTATACACGTGTTTATTGTGAGTTTTATGAACGTGCTATAACTCACATAAAACTGCTCCTGTACATAAACAGCTGAGGCAAATGTTTCTGTGTGTTTTTGCATGTTGTGAATGGGATACAGACCGCACAGCCGCAGGTAGCGTTGGTGCATCCGTAAATGCCAGGCACGTGTTAGATTTCACGTTCTGCTCTCACCACTTCTCTCCTCAGTGTGTGTTTTACCTCAAACTGCACTATTCTGGGTCCGTACACAAGCTCATGATCCAGCTGTCGTTCTGCAGCTTTAACAAAAGAATGTCATCTTTTACGAGCCTCTCACTGCTTAAGAGGTTCAGTCATTCTGCATTGTTCTTGTTGTTGCAGGTCTCTACATGTCATTTTACACATGCACAAGTTTGTTCAAAAAAGTTAATTTCCTACTTAATAACAACCTCACATCCATGCATGTGTGGAAGGTTTATGGCCAATTCAACCCTATGAGGTCATCATTGAGCCAACGTGAAAGTTGCGGGAAAAAAAGTCATTTTTAGCAAAAAATATTTTTAGCAAATGTTTACAACTTCTTACAAAAGTACTGGTTGTGTAGGTAATTCCCCCAATCATAATGGTTTGAATGATTTAACCTTTATCTTGGGAACTGCAAGGCTCAAAGTTGTGGGATACAGCAGATAGTCAGGTGTCTTTCAAAATATCACCTCAGCTTTTTGGAGTGACTGAGCTGAACTTCTCTGTCACAACTGCTGACAGCAGCTTTAGGGAGAATTTGAAAAAAATATCTGACTATCAGTAGAGTCCAAGAAGTTTCTTCTTTTGGTGAGAGAAAGTTTTGTATTCTATTAGCTCTTAGTATTTAGTATTCTAAATAAGTTGTATTTGTTTTGCACTTAAACTTGTCAAGTTTATGGATTACGTTGCTAACAAAGCTTGCTAAAGTTAGCTGATAGTTAAACTGAATTTTGGTCCCAATATATATGGAGTATAGTTTACTACTAGTATTTTAATCAGAGAAGGTATTAGACTCCTTGAAATCCATGCTTACAGAACTGGACATAAAATAAATTGTTTTGATAATTGGTACTTTTATATTGAAATGTAAAGGTATCATATTATTCTGAATGACTGCAATTGTATGAAAAATCCTCTTTGTAACAATTTCTTCTGTTAAACAGTTATCTCATATTCTGTTTGAGGCCAATTAAGGATCTCTGCCTAAACTTAAAGTTATTTAATTTAATTAAACCCAATCAAACCTTGACTTTAACATTTTTACATCACAAGAGTTGGATATTTAATTTTTCAGCAGTGGATTGTATTGGACATCTCCACAGTCTTCTCTATGGAGAATTGGTTTTAACTGGTGTGTTAAGTTAGAAAAATGCTTTTGTTCTTAACAAAAATCAGATCAAGGTATTGTTGATTTACCTTTTCTTTCATCGGATTTATATTTTTCAGTCTTTTCTGCCAAGAGTTTCCTCTTTTTAC